TGCGCCCAATGTTGACTGACCCAGACATCATCCAACTTCAGAAGTTGGATCCCGCAATCAACTCGATGATGCTGTATCTGACTGACCCAGACAAATACACTCCATCGAAAGACGAGCTGGATTCCAATCCAGACCTCAAAGTCCTCTTTCAGCTGCGCAAACAGCTAAAACTACTTAAGGGCATCCTAACTTTCGCTCATGGACGGACGTCCTCACCTGTGTTCGTGGTCCCCCATGACCACAGGGGGGTGATGTTAGTCCATGCACATGACCTTCCGTCCGCAGGACATAAGGGTGACAATGCCACGCTGAAAGCATTAAAACAAATTGCTTATTGGCCTGGAATGAAAAAGGATGTCAAGGACTACATAAAAGGGTGCCTGATCTGTGGCCAGTTTCAACCATCCAGACCACTTCACAGAGCACCACTGCATAGTAGAGGCATTGCATTTCCATGGTCGGACCTCCAGATTGACTGGGTCGGACCACTCACTAAGACCTCTAGAGGAAATAAATATTTTCTCACGGTAACCTGCGCGTTTACCAAATGGGTAGAATGTCTACCAGCCCCTAATGACACAGCACAAACCACTGCTATGTTATTAATGAATCATGTATTTTCAAGGTTTGGACTTCCCCTTAGGGTGAACTCAGACCAAGGTACACACTTCACAGGTGAAGTAATGAAGGAACTGTGGAAGACGCTAGGCGTCAAAGCCAACTTCCATATTGGCTACCACCCACAGGCTTCAGGCCAGGTTGAGAGAGCAAACAGGACTGTGGTGAGTATTTTGAAAAAATACGTAGCCGCAAACCACAAGGACTGGGACGTGAAACTCCCTCTGGTCCTCATGGCCATAAGGGCCACTCCACACACCTCGACTGGCATCGCTCCTTTCGAGATGATGACGGGTCGACAAATGACTCTCCCTCTGCACCTGTTGTACCAACCAGGCGATGCTGCCATGGCAACAGCCTACACCACACAACAATACATGAAAGACTTGGAAAGACACCTTAAAAACACTTTTGCTTTCGCACAGAAAAACCTGGAAAAATCAGCTGAAGGACGCAAAGCGTACTACGACCAAAAGGCCTCTTACGAGGAACTCCAAGTGGGAGACAGGGTCTGGTACTACACGTTTGCACCCAAAACTGGGAGAGTAGAGTCCGGGACCGGAACTCTCGCCCGTAAGCTGATGCCCAGATGGACTGGACCCCATCTGATAATCGACAAAGTGTCTCCAATTATCTACCAGATAAAAATCAGTAAAGGCCAAAAAGAGCCAACTGTTAAATGGGTACATCGTAACCAGATTAAACAACACAAGGCGTGCAATAACTCCTTAGGAGACAAAGATCTCACAAAATCTGACCTCGTGGGAACAAGGGTCATCCAAGCAGAAGATAACTAATGGATAATAAACTTAACCATAGTTTAAATTCACAGGACCTACCCTTGATAAAACGGGACAGCGTGACTGAATCTGGCAACCAGGGTGAGGAGAAGCTGTGAAACGATGTTTCTAGATGCTTAGTCACTACTCTTGTCGGTGCTGAAACGTTGTTTAGTTGATTTTGGTATTGTTTCTGAGGTAAGAATGAATTTTGTTGTGTAGTAAGTTAGAGACTAAGAAGCCTTTGACCATGCCAACATGCAGTTCATTCATTAAATTGCAATCTTTGCGGAGTCAATGTATATTATTGCTACTTTGAGTACCATAATCTACGTTGATCTCAAAACGCTTAAGCCGAACCTACTCGAACAATTCTATTCGGGGGGATAGCTAATTCTTTTTGATAAGTCTCGCCATAGACTTCCAAAACATTTATGGGAAAACCAAACACCCAATCTCAAGTCGTTCGTCTAAAAGACAACAGACAATTAAACCGAACTATATTTTACCATGTAAAGCTAACTTAAACCAAGTTAGAAATGAAAAATAGTTTGGAACACTTTTCTATAGGCATAAACCCCTGTAGTTACCCCTTTTCAGCATTCTCCACCCCTTAACTGGTAGTTGTAGCTGTTCCCAACCATAATAGCTTACACACCACATGCATATAGTTTAAGGCCTTATGTAAAATCCCCTTCATAAGCCCACCTTAAACCACATAATTGCATGACACATTGAACCAGAACGGCACAGGCTGGACGTCGCTGGAGACAACCTTCGCTGGAGGCGACCTGCAATCCTGACGTTGGTCTCAACTCTTCATCCAGTGGCCGCTTCTTCAGTTCAACCCAAGGGTACCCCTCTGTATGCTGATTAATCAACACTTCCAATCGCTGTGGATTTACCGTTGTGGATTATATGACTTTTTCCAATGGATTACAGACTCTGTTTCCAAGGGGTTAAAGCATTATCGAGACGATATGGGATTATAATCAACACAATGGAATACCAAGAACATTGTGGAATTACCTTGACTTTGTTTCCTTGCTGGATTACTTCTGACTTTGGTCTTCCTTGCTGGATTACTTCTGACTTTGGTCTTCCTTGCTGGATTACATCAAGCTCAAGGACATTTGAAGGTCTAAGTTCACGGTTGGAATTCATCCCCATGGACAGGTGATGATTTCCAAAGGGGGGACTGTAGTGAACCTGATCTGACCCTGATCTGACCCTGATGACCTCAAATCTATCAGATGGACAGAGACTGTTATTTTCATTGATCTGAATACAGTCTGAGCCATCTGGTGACTTTCTTTCTTGAATTAATCAAGCAGAAAAGACAATTCTCTATAATCATTTACTGTTTTACAAATGTTTGATAATCAAATTGTGTTAGTTCCATTCAATGCTTACAGGTTGGAAAGAACTACTCATTTTATTTTACATAAGCAGTAAGTAATGATTTTTATTCCTCATTCAAAGAAGAAATCAGGTTAATATGCATTTCTTGATTTTCTGTCTGAAATGAGCCAAGCAACGTAAGTATGTGAAAGTTGAAGTTTCGGTCAACTAAAATGTTTACTGAGAAGAAATGTCATGTTTTACTATTTGAGAAGATACAACAGCGTGAGGCTCCACGAAGTCTGGTCGTCTGCAATAATCTTTTCTGTATGTTGAAAACAATCCTTGACTTATGATAACATCTTACATCACAAACCACACCTCTATTTCTGGTCCATCGACCAATCAAAAGCTCTCAAATGAACCGGAAGTCGACCCATTTAAAATGTGGCAACTTCCCAGTTCATGTGAGAATTCGGGAGAATTCGGGAG